CATATGTCTAGAAAGCACAGAGATCCGCATAATCAGAATTTACAGGTCAGCGATGATGAAAGTGACACTGGAATGGACAGTGACAATGAGTTAGACCATGCCGGAGGTGTAGCAGTTGATGTTAGGCATCGTAATGCTGCATTTGCATTAGGTTTAGAGTGTGGTTGCAATATGCCATCGTCATCCGTTAATGAAGTAGTCCAGATGGTGTCATCACTAATTGACGATCACTTGGCACATTTCAAAACACAGATATGTAGTGAGTTCAGGCAAAATGGAATCCCTGAAAACATAATTAACACAGTCAACAGCATTCCAATTAGCAATTCTCTGGGTGATTTCAGTACACAGAAAAATAGGAATTCATACTACAGTAAAGAACTGTGCTACGTTGCCCCACAGCGTGTAATACTTGGAGATAAGTATGTTTCAGTTAAGGGAGAACTAGTCAAGAGAGATGTTGTTGGCTATGCTGTTCCCTTTATTGATAGTCTAAAAAACCTGCTGCATATGCCAGAAGTGTGGAAGTTTGTGAATCATCCTCACACTAGTCAGTCTGAGTACATGTTTGACATTTGCGATGGGGCTTTCTTTAAGATGGATCCAGTATTTGAAAGAAACCCCAGGGCTTTGCAAGTCATCTTAAACACTGATGACATTGAAATTGTCAACCCTATCGGATCACATACAAAAAAGCACAAGTTGAGCATGTTCTATTATACACTGGGCAACATTCCACCTGAATGTCGATCACGTCTACAAGCAATCCAACTTCTTGCAGTGGCTAAAACAAAAGATCTTCGTGAAAGTGGACCAGGGGTATTGTTGAAGGACTTCATTTCACATATGAGAACACTGTCCACTGGAGGTCTTGACATGCAGGTTAATGGAAACAATGTACATCTAGAAGGACAGATTGTTGTAGTAGCATGTGACACACCAGCAGCTCAGTGGTTTGGAGGATTCAAGGAGGGTGTCTCATTTGCACATAGGGGATGTAGAAATTGTAAAGCAACAGGACATGAAATGAAGAGAACATTTGTTGAAAGGGATTTTGTCTTGAGGAATGAGGAAGAGCACCGGAGACGATGTATCATGCTGGATGACAACTTGTCAAAACCTGCACGCAATTACTGGAGCAGGCAGTGGGGCATAAACAACCGTAGTTGTCTCCAGGAAATTCCAGACTACAAGCTTTGTTCTGGATTTGTTCAGGACCCTATGCACCTTTTTCTGGAAGGAATTGTTCCTCATGAGTTGAAATATATGCTGAATGAATTCATATACAATTCAAAATACTTCACTCTGAAGTGGCTGAATTCAATGATAGTTTCATTTTCATACACATATCTTGAGGCAGGATCCAAACCTGAACAAGTTTATGAGAGCTGTTTGAAAGGTGATGGAAAATTCAAACAAACATCAGCTTCCATCTTGACCTTAATTGTTACATTGCCTTACATGATCGGGAGCAAAGTGCCAAGAGATGAGCCAAAGTGGGTCAATTTTCTCAGGCTGGTTCAGCTCACCCTACTTGCAACAAGCCCTTACTGTAATGCAATTACAGCTGCACTTATGTCTCAGTTAATATATGAACACCACAGTCATTTTGTGACACTTTACCCCATGGGCCGTGTTATACCCAAAATGCATTATTGTGTGCATCTTCCACGTCAACTCCTTTTGTATGGACCCTTGAGACACCATTGGTGCATGAGATTTGAAGCAAAGCATGGATTCTTCAAAAATAAGAAGTGGAAGTGTTTCAAGAATCTTCCCTTGAGCATTAGCACAAAGCACCAGAAATATATGTCATACAAACAGTTTGGGTCACTCACACAGAGAGAGTCATTTTTGTATCCAGGAGACATCATAAAAGAAGGAAGTTCTGTGCTGTTCAATGATAAGTACCCTGAGCTTGTTGACAACATGTCGGGCATCTGTGGAGTTGATGCTGGGCAAGGCTTGCAAGTGTACGCAACTAACTGTGCTACCATACTTGGGCACACATACAAAGTAGGATGCTGCCTTGTTCTTTCTAACAGAGGTGATGATTTACCCGTCTTTGGAATTCTTCATGATATTTTGATCCACGATGGAAAGAAATTATTTGTTGTTTCCTGCCAGACTGTCAAGCATTTTGACAACCACATAATTTCATATGTTCTTGATCCTACTGGAGAACAAACCATAGTTGAGTATTCCCAGCTCTTTTCAAGGTGGCCGTTAAGTGTGCACTCATACTCTGGACAGACAGGTGTGATTAACAAATATTCTCATACATGCGAGCCTCTCTGAATCTGTTGTACAACATAAAGTTTTACAATAGGCCCAGCTTCCATTATGCTAGGCATAATTACATCTAAACTGCCAATTAAGTCCTCACACACTCGCCTTTCTGAACCCCGACTAATTGTTCTTTCTAATAACAGAAAAACAGAAAATGTGAATGTTTCAAATAACCAATGCACCTACTGTATCCCCAAATCTTCCCTAGACTGCCTAACCAAGATGTGGGATTGTCATTTTCGAGATGAAAAATTCCCCTGTCCCTGATTATGTTGGGGTCATGACTTTTGTCAAAGTTGTTTGCAGTGTACTGTAGAAAAGCTGTAATGAGCCACTTGCATAAAAAAAAACACTCTGTCTGATTTTACAATGCATTTTCCTCTAAATGCACACATCCCCTATTTTTCTGCTTAAAGTTGTTGGTCTGGTTACCAGTATAAGGTTGACAAGATGCCTGTTTTCAAAGTCTGGAGCAGTGACAGACTTTCCAGAAAATGCATTCCAGCTATTTGCTATGAGGAACTTCTTAACAAAGGTATGTTACACTCACTTCTTCATAAAGAAACAAATTATTTGTCCAAATTTAATATTGAAAAAAAAAACGAAATTGAACGCGAATCCAGAGGGGGGGGGGGAGATTTGGGGGCCAATATTCAGCCCCCACCCCAGCTCTGTCCATCAAATATTTTTCCATAGAAATTCCTGAGAAAAAAAAATTAGGAACCCCCCCCCCCCCCCCCCCCCCCCCCCCCCCCCCCCGACACCCAGATTGTTTTTGCTAGTAATAATGTCTGCCTTGCCAAAAATACGTACAGAGCCAGCTTTGTTAGGGGGTATGTGTACATTATTCTTTGATAAAGTGTTAATAATCGTCACATTTTAACAGCGCCCCCATTGAAATTATGGTATGAGCCCTGCCCCCCCCCCTCCCCACACTCCCCTCCCCCTGATTTTACGGGGGTCAAGTGTTTTGAGAAAGAAAAAGGTGCCAACATTTCACACTTGTTTTTTGCTGATGAAAAACAAAACCTGCAAAAATTCCTGGATCTGCCCCTGGGGTCATGAAAAATTAAAAATGAGAAAAATAACACAAAACTGCCACATACAACTGAAAGTTGTAACCTTGGGTGGTTGTTGGTTTGTTTGTTTGTATTTTTTTTTGGGGGGGGGACTAGTGGCAGGGAGGGAATACGTGCTAGGTTTAGGGTAAAAGGGTAACAGGGGATAATACTGATAGATGGCAACATTTTCCTTTCACATGTACCACTATTTCTGTCATTTCAGCACAGCAAAAGTTTGCATTTGCATCAAGTGACTTGTTGGCAGTAGTTCTGGAGGAAGATGGGACTGAAATAGACGACACTGAATCCCTCATGGAATTTTCCAAGTCCATTCTGATGATTCTACAACCAGGACAGACGTGGCATCGAAAAACATCCACTCCTCCAGCAGAATTGCCTTCTGAAGAGGGGAAAAGTCATGCTCCGGATGAGTACTCAGAAATCAAACTAATAGATGTGGATGTTGGTCCATCTACCAGTACAAAGACCTTCCCTGCACCCACTACTGCTTGTGGGATTTCATCCCGGGTGACATCAGCAACTTCATTGCCATCATTCAGCACAACCATTCAGCAACATCTAAAGGCTGGGACAGAATTTCAGATTTGGAAAGAAATGATTGCAGAGGCTGCACATTACTACACTGCCAACTTCCCCAACATCAGCAGCTCATCTGAATATCATGATATTGGCAAGAAGATGCACCAAGAATTTCCTGCAATTGCCCGAGAAGGAGAACATGCATGGGTAAATTTGTTTCTGCTCAGTTTTACCTCATTGGTCCTTTATTGGTTGTGCTCATTGTAGGCTAGACAATTGCGTGTGTTATGTTTATTAACTTTTGTGAATTTTTTGTCACACGCGATTACCCTACATTTTGTACACATAAGATAAATTCATAAGATAGTTTGCACAGCCCTGTTCGAGCTCCAGCTGACAAGCACAAGCGTTCCAATGAGATTTTCTTTCTGAGAACAATATAAAGTATTTTAAACGGTTCAGAAGGAAATAAAGGAGCTGTACCCAAAATGTTCCTTTTCACTTCAGTTGCAAATTCATAACCTGGTCAGTGAGTAACACTCACACCCCTACATGAAAATGTATTCTTTTCTTGCTAAAATTATTCCTGAGGTATAAAGTGCTGTTCAAGGAGCATCGTGAGAAGTTTTGGCCCTCTGCCCCCACCCTCTGCAATCCCTGCCAAAACTTGCTGCATGGCCCTCCCCCTTCCCCCACCCAAGCATCTGGTCAAAGTTGTTTCTCATTGCGTGGTGTGTGCTCCATCAGCTGGAGAGAACAACATTGAGCGGGAGTGGGTGTCCTAACCATTTTCAAGTTGGCCGGGATTATAGATCTGCCAGTGTGGAAGCAGCATGCTCACTTAATGGTACTGATTTCCCTTGATTTTTTTCTCAGTCCTTTTTCACGAAATGCTTAAGCCAGAGGATTCGACACATGCGATGGGCATCAAAAAAGAAGACAGTGCCACCAAAACCAGCAGAGGTACAAGGAGAGAAGAGGGGACGGGAGGACACCAATGACCAGCCCAGGAAATCTGTCAGAGGAGCACAGCTGCACATTTCTGGTCACAAGAGCTGTACTGATGCAGAGTATGAGGAACATCTTAAGGAGCTAGCGAGTCAGTGGGACAAGAGTGAGACACGAAATGTGAAGCACATCAAGCTGCTGCTCAGCGAAACCTTTCGAAGGAACGAGCAGTGGATTCGTACTCTACCGGATTCTCAGGTTCATCCAATCCTTGAGAAAATACCTTGCTATGAAGATGGTGCAATGGTAGGTGCACTAATTGCTTAGGCCCCAAAAAAAAACAATTCTGCTTCCGATTACATGGCATTTGGAAAAAGAGGGTATGTAGGTAAGGTATGTTTGGGTAATATTTTTCTGTGTTGATCGCACGTGTCTTCTTGTAGTCAAGGGTAAGCTGGGTTTTTTTCCCTAAACCTCCCCATCCCCCAGGGTAGGGGCTGTCAAAATTTGGTAGGTAGGGTAACCTGAAGCAGAAGTATTTTCTTTTTTGGCCTCATATAGTAATATATTTACAAATATTTGTTTAATGCAGTAAAAAAAAAATTGTAGAGCATCTTTGTCAGAATCTCGATGACAATTTTCCTGTCATCTTATTTTTGGCTTTTTCATTTCCACGGTAATTGGGCCAATGTGCTATATATGTATGTGTTCTTTGATTTTGAGAAATGGTATAGTGTAAAACGAAGTGTTAAACAAGGGAGATCCATGGGGAGAGCCATGGCCCCCTCCCCCAAAACAAACTAAATGTTTGTTTAATTGTCATCACAGTGAAGGCAAGCACTGCGTATCACCACAATTTTTGCCTTAAAAATTGTTACAGTGGTCAATTGCCTCAGATTGCACCACTAGAGCATCTGGAATGCAATTTTTTTGGACCCACTTTTGGGTGACCAAAATGGTTTTGCTCCCCCCCCCAAAAAAAAAAAATTAAAAGCTTTTACAAATTTATGGCAAAGCGTGTGCATGTACTATGAACCCATCAAGTCTATTTTGACTACAATTTTATTACAAGTTTGGGATTTTGAATTTTGCAGCATGTTGGATTGCTGAACTAGTGGGGCAAGGGTTATCTGCACCGTATTTTAATTTATAATGACTTACATTTCCATGCAGGTGATGCATGATTTTCAACTCCTCCTTGGTGAGACAAAGTTTCAGGCCATCCAAGACAACATCATCGTCTTCATGGATGCAGTAGAGAAAATTATGGAATCGAAAACAGAGGTATGTACAAAAAACATACAATGACACTCAGGTACAGTATTGTGGACAACGCTGCATGGAGCCTTCCACAAATACACCGTTACACGGAATGATACAGCAACCCCCCCCCCCCTCCAAAAAAAAAAATTGTGCCCATGCGTGTAGCTTAGCATCAGAGGTCTCAGGGTCGAATCCCAATGCGGCCGGTGTGATTTTTTTTTCTCTCATCCTGTGTTTGGTCAAAAAATCAACTTACTAAACTTCCATATAAGCACTATTCATGGACCTGAAGTGGTGCAAGCCTTATGTCCAGAGACTGCATATTCAATGCCTATACAATGAATAAAGTGATAGGGAATTATAGAATTTATAAGGATTTTTATATCACAGAGAACTTTATAATAGCTGGTGTTATGATAAGAGTTTGCTGTGTGTATTCATGCTCTTGGGACTAAATGCAAGTGCAAAAGTGGTCCCTGTGGGCCAAAGATTAGGTGTCACTCCTCTGGGGTTGTAACGCAAAACTACTCTGCCATACACTTTAATACAACTTTTATATTTTTCTAATATCATTCTGGAAACATGTCATATTTTGTAGCAACATTTACTTCAGGACATGTATGTATTCATTTCTTATTTTAAAATTTTTTGTAACAGGAGGCCGAGCCAGAGAGGATGATCCCTATAATTTCTTACGTGGAAAAGGCAACAGCCTTTGAGAAGGGGAAGGGAAGAAAGACTAGGTCGATCATCACCATGAAAGAGGTTTGTAATTATTGAATGTTACTGAAACATCATTTTTCGTGTCCACAGCCTATTTCAAACACAGATTGAGACTGTGTGCCATTTGACCTGGATTTACAGCATCTCTATGTTTGGCGAAAACAGCAAAGTTATTCACTTAATTAACTTAGGAAATGATGTTGCATTAAAAATGCCGCTAAAAGTTGAGTATAATTCGGACTTAAGGCACAAGCCTGTGGCTATACAGACTTTCATGTTGAATGCTGTATTACTGCCATATTATGAATAGACACCTGAGAAACCTGATTACAACAACTTTTACTTTTCACTTATTGCATCATGGTAAAGTGGGTACACAGCTGGGATCATAATTGAGAAATTGTGGGTTTGATCTATCAAAGGGAGTGTCAAACATGGTAGGGTTGTGCACCTTGGCAGGCAGCCGCTTAGTTAGATGCTGATGATTTGTTATAATGCTAGCAGCATTAGGGGTTTACCCACGGTTAGATGAGCACTTTGCAGAATCCACCATTATAAATATTTTCTCACATTGGCAAACATGATGATCTTTCCTCATGGTTTTTTTTTTTGGGGGGGGGGTTGAAATTGAAATAGCATGCATGCATTTATCAGGATATCTTGAAACAGTAACATTTCTCCATAAAGGGCATATGGCTGAAGTTTGAAATCGCCCCAACCCTTTTTTGGGGGAAAGGGATTGGATGTTGACCCAAAAGTACGAGATTGCAGATTGCTAATAGGCAAGCTTGCCCAAAATTTTTTGCAAACATTAAATTACAAATACAGCACAGTTATTGTTTTATATACATTGCTGTTTCCTGCATGCTTTACGTTGGTGAGAACCAGAGCATATCTTTTGAAAGTGAAAAAAAAAAATATTTGATGCTTCTTCCTGCAGGACATACCAGATGGTGACATCAAAAAGGAACTCCACACCCCAAGAAATGAGCCACCGAAGCTGGTAATCTTCACATCAAACAACAAGCTGCAAGCATCTTTTGTTGTAGCTGATGGAGTCAGTATTATGAGTGAGAAGGGTTCTACTGCCACTGCTGCAATCCTCTTACTCATTGGAGTGTACTACCTATTCGACCTGGAGTACCCAAAGACTTATTCTCAGCTCCTTGGAACACTCCAGAACCATGTTGTTAAGGGTGTGCCCTATGATGGCCAAAAGAGTGCCAAATTCAGAATGTTCCAAACGGCTTTGCAAAGAAAATTAAAAGCTGTTGCTGAAAATTAAAAGCAGTTGCAGTAGAACCCTTCTCACCTTATTTTGTCCATTACACAACATGCTGCTTAAACTCATTAGGCCAAGAAGAAAAAAACATGTTTTCTGTTACAACACAAATATTTAGGGTACTATATCTCTTTTCCCCTAACTGTTGTACTGCCAAAATATTAGAGTAGGATGATAATCAGTTATATTTTGAACCCTTGCACTTTGTAACAGTTAACATTTTGTAACATTTAACATGTGAATTAAGTGTTTAAAGAATGTCGTGATTGTGGATACAAACAAACAAAATTACTGAGTAAGCCACTTTTTTCAGGCTTTGGGGTGGAACAAATTACTGTGATGCCTCCAAATTTCTTTTTTAAATCACAGTTTTATCGATATCAGCATGGTCTTCCAGGTCATTAGATAATAGGAAACACAAGTATTTTCTTACTTGGCCCTACTGCAGTTTACATTTCTCCAACTATTGCTTGGATGGGCAAGCTAGATTGAGCAAACTGCGTCAGCTAAAAAAGTCAAATGTGTTATTTAGCTTAATTTTTGTATAGCATTGATACATTTAGTTTGTTACTTGTTTCAGCAAGTTTTTATGGCATAAAAGGCCATGAATTTGCACATACTTTGGCCCAGTCAAAAGTTTGGAAATAAAATTTTTTAGTACATGTACAAGTTTTGGTACTTTTAAAGAAATTACAATATTATGTATGGTAAAGAAAACACCAAGAAAACAGAACTTTCATAACCACAGTCTTAACAAGTACAAGAAAACAAAATGTGCAAATAAAGATATGATGCGTGTTATACACTTAACTGCAGCTGCAAACCAGCTTTTGGATTACTAGTATATAAAAATATACAGATTTGAAAAATTAAGGATGTTTTTTTATTTTCTGAAGACGAATTTCAAAGTGCCTTCCAGGTGGTTAGGCCAATAGAGGCTCTGAGTGCTGGGCTATTTTGTTACGGCACTGCCTTTTCAGTGCCAAAGAAGCACGAAAAAACCTTTGAAATTCAACACATGAATAGTAGTAGTGAAGCCCAATGCATATACATGTATTGTTAAACATGTTTCGTCTTATTAAACACTTAAGCACTTATAAACGTGTTAAAATGTTTATAAACCGTTGCAACATGTAAACATGTCAAAGTGTTTATATTTGAACACTTTCTTATACACGTCACAGTGTTTATTTGAATAAACCATGCGTTTAACTGTTAAACAGTGTGTTTATCAGACCATTTCTTCAGAGTGTTAAACACGTATGTTTATGTGGATAAATACTCTATTCGTAAACGTGTTAAAATGTTTAAAAAGTGTTGCAAATAAGCATTTATAATGTGTTTAGAAACTAAACACCTGGATTTACAGTGTACATTGATGGAGACTTATTATCCAGGGATAGCCATTTTGTTGTTATGAGAGCTACAGGAATTTAGCCTTGTTATGATTCGTCTTCTATTTTTTTAAGCGTCGGAAACATACTGTTTCTACTTGAATCCCACTCAGTGTATTTGGAAAATGGATTATTAAAACTCGTGTATATAATGATAAACCCTTTTTTATACAGATTTGATCCTGGGACTGATCTCCTGGTGGAGTGGAAGGATGGCACCCAAAATGTAGTGAAACTAAAAGACGTCAAGCTGTTGAGCAAAAAGCTACGGAAGGGGAGTAGAGTAAAAATGCAGTGGGGACGGCAGACATGGGAGGGAGAGGTGATTGATGTCGAAGACTGCTCTGATGATCTGCAGGACAGTGATTCCGATTCGGACGTTCCTCTTGCTAAACTTAGAGCAAACAACACAAAAAGAACCCAAGGTATGCAATCTCCTGTAATATTATTTAGTAAAACAAATGATAATGTCCAGTATATTTCTATCACTTGATTTTAATTTTAGTTTATTGAGAAAGTACATCACTTGCATTTTGTTCACGCTGCACTGTTTTTAATTTTACGAACGTGTGAACTGTCCAGTTAATTACCATCTGAAAAGTTGGTATTCCCATGGGATCCAAGTATACTGGCAAACAAATTTTACAAAAGGTTGATCTTTGAAATAGCTGCCAAACATAAAAGCAGGCAATCGTAATGTTTTCTTTTAGAGAAAAAACAAGTTTTTAAACTTTTAATGATTGAAATAGGAAGCGATCTTATTAAAAAAACGGGTGGCTTCACAATTGTTAATTTTTGTTTATAAAGTTCAAACAAGTCGTAAGCTTTTCAAAACATACATACTATAAGTTTTAACAATATCAAGAATACCGATTATAATTCAATATAAGTTTTTTCCTTCATGGGGTTGTGTGAGAAAAATCAAATGCAAAGCATACCTGTTGAAATCAACTAATTTTGCACAAAAAATGAAGCGCGCAAGACATTTATGAATCATCTGATGTGGAAAACATATTTGTCCTGTCATAGTTCCCTATATGAGGTAAAATGAGGAGAAATTTCCAGTAATTCTGTAAACACTACAGTTGGTTTTATATGCATCTCTATAAAACACCTCCCTTCTTTGCTAAAGAGAGCTTTTTTTCTCACTTACTTTAGATACAGATGACTCAACACACAAGCCTGCAAGGTGTGACGACTTCATGTGCGGGGAAGAGGTCTGGGCAGCCTGTACTTAGTGTTTCTGTTTGCTTTGTTACGACCATTTTTTGTTAAACAGTACTTGTAAAACACAATCTTTTTCATGATTTGTTAAATCCCAATTCATCTACTCCGTTGATAGACTTGCTTTCATCTAGTGGAAGTGCCCCAGTGTCGCATGGACACGACCACGTAACATCTAGTGGATGTGCCCCTGTGTCTGGTGGACACGACCACGTAACATCGCTGTCTTCCTCAGCTGGCTTGCCTGCTGGTCCACAGTTTTCTCCTTCCACTTTGTCATCTGGTGGATGTGCCCCTGTGTCTGGTGGACACGGCCACGTAACATCGCTGTCTTCTTCAGCTGGCTTGCCTGCTGGTACACAGTTTTCTCCTTCCACTTTGTCATCTGGTGGATGTGCCCCTGTGTCTGGTGGACACGGCCACGTAACATCGCTGTCTTCTTCAGCTGGCTTGCCTGTTGGTCCACAGTTTTCTCCTTCCACTTTGTCATCTGGTGGATGTGCCCCTGTGTCTGGTGGACACGGCCACGTAACATCGCTGTCTTCTTCAGCTGGCTTGCCTGCTGGTCCACAGTTTTCTCCTTCCATTTTGTCATCTAGTGGATGTGCCCCTGTGTCTGGTGGACAAAACCACGTAACATCGCTGTCTGCTTCGGCCGGCATGCCTGCTGGTCCACAGTTTTTTCCTTCCACTTTGTCATCTGGTGGATGTGCCCCTGTGTCACCTGGACAGGATCACATAACATCACTCTCTTCATCAGCCAGCCCGTCTGGTTTACAATGTTCTCCACCTGGATTCAAAATTGTTGTTGAGCCCAGTGACTTTCTAGTTGATGGTGAGGGAAGGCCACTTATTTCAGATGGAGTCAAGAGAAAAAGTAGTAAAAATGCAGCAGTTAAGCACAACAGAAACGGAGGGAAAGCTTACACAACTGAAAAAATCAAACAAATGTGTACCTGCCAAGCTCGGTAACTTAGGAGAGAGTAACTGCTGGCATTGCCTTAAAAGGGGCCTGGATTGCCTTACTGCATTACTATTGAACAGCGTCACCAGATCAGAGAAGCCTATTACAACATGGGTGATTTGCAAAAACAACGTGAATGGCTCACAAGATATGTATCTGTCAACAAAGATAGGGAACAAAATAAGTATTTGTATTATCTGCCGAAGCTACATGTACATGAGGATGCTCAACAATGGCAAGTGTGTCGGAAATTATTTACCAGTACCCTTGGTATTTCGTTTTGTGTAGTCCGCACCCTTTTTGACAAGAGAGACAAGTTTGGTGTACTTGAAGGAGAGTGTCGTGGTGGTAGACAGCAGTTTGCGAGGGACAGGTCACTCAGGGAGCAGGTGAAAGCCCATATTGATCAATTTCCAAGGATGGAGTCCCATTATTGTAGGGCGAAGTCCAAGTGCCAGTATCTCTCTCCTGATCTCAACTTCACGATCATGTATAATATGTACAAAAAAAAAGTTCCACCATGCTAAGAAAGATTTGTGTGGTTTGTGCAACACCTTTCATAGATCAAGCGATGAACACAAGAAGGAACTACAAGACATGTTTGATAGTCATGTGCTGGAGAAAGAGAAATCCCGTTCATTGAAAAGTGCTGCGAAAGCGAAAGCTTTCACTGACGACAAGTATCGAGCTGCTGTTTTTTTTAACCTTCAGCAGGTCATTTACCTACCAAAATCGGACCGCTCAGAACTTTTGCGATAAACGCCGTCTGTCATGTTTTAATTTCACGATTTTTGAATTGGCTAGCAGAGATGGTTTCTGGCTCTTCCGAAATAGCTTCATACCTTCATCAATACCTATCCCAAGTTGATGAGCAAGGTTGTGAAAAAGTCGACTTGTACTCTGACGGCTGTGTTGGCCAAAATAAAAACTCAATCGTTCCGTCCATGATGCTCTATTTTGTAGAAAGGTCGAAGGCTTTCAGGAAATCACACTGAACTTATTTTAAACAAATCATGGCCAATCGGAAGGTGATGCAATCCACAGTACAATCGAGAGGCGAATTAAGAAGATTGGTGAAATATTTGTACCCTCGCAGCTTGTGACGCTCATCAAGATGGCTCGCAAAACTCCCACACCATATAATGTAACTACAGTCCAGACATCACACATACTAGACTGGAAGACATATAGTCAAAGCCGGGGATTATTGAGAGTGCGGTCTTCAGAAGCAGGGACCAAGGTTGACTGGAAAAAGTTCATGCAGATCAGAGTAAGCAAACATGATGCCAACACAATAAAGTTCAAGTAGATGAAGTCTTTGAGATCCTTAGAATTGATAGCACGCGTTGATACTCTGATAAGGCCCAGCTTGCTGAACCACAACCCTGTTGGTATTTCGGTAGTGTTTCATTATCCATAATATGCCGTGAATCTTCAGTGCTTGTATAATATTGTTTTAAAATTGTAAATATAATGTTCATAGTCGAAGACCTATTGTTTACAAGACCCACTGTAATAACGGAACACGTTCATCTCGGGCCTGAATGAAATCCATCTTGCACAGGTTTATGTGTTAATTCATTATACGAGATAATATGAAATCTTTACGCAATAAGAAACATTGGATGTTTAATCAAATTTTTAAAATATTGATTGTTAATGAAATGTTATAACAATGAATTTAAAATAAAATCTTTAAGAATTGAGTTTTTAATTATTTTTTTTTTAATATTGAATGTTTCTTGGGATTCCAAAGAGTTTGAATAATGAATTTTGATTGTATTTATTAAACACAAACATGTTAACAAAGAAGAATAATGACAGCAGAGCTTTCCCGAATTAAATCTTTCGGCTGTGGAGATAGGATGTTTAATAAAATCTATAAAAATTGATTGTTTTGAATAAATTATTGTTTAACACTAAATTTTAAAAGAAATCTTTAAAAATTTAGGTTTTTAATGAAATTTTTTTTTGTAGTGAATGATTAATGAAATTCCAAATGGATTGACGAATGAATTGTTATCGTTTAAACAGAAACATGTTAATAAACAAGGATTTTGACGCCATCAGAGCTTTCCGATTGAAACTTTCGACTGATGTATTCACTCTTTATGAGGTGTTCGTTTAAATGTTATAATGATTATTGTGTCTCATAATTTAGCCAGTGTTTTCAAGAGAGTCTATGACCATCGTGACCCATTTCATCCATGTACTCATCAAATTCTTTTGGGGGGGAATGAGAAAACCCGATTTGGAATCTTTATAGGGGGCCTACTGAAACAAGTTTCGTTAAGGTCCAATCAAAATAATATAGGAATTTGTCATCAGATAGCTTGAAGTGAAACTAGGCGCGCACTGTACATATTTCCTACGGATTTCGTTTTCACGAAGTAACAGGAGGTTTTCAGTTCACATTTTATTTGCGGAAAAATGTGCTGTCAAGCATGTAAATGCATTTATCTCCAAATCAACATGTTTCGATGCGCGTACATGAGTGTCACTTCGTGTTGTCGGTGACGATATGTTGACAGTAGTCGACTATTATCATGTGCTGATGGCATTTCACATTAGTGGAGAGAGGAAATCAGGTCTACAACAAACAAATGCTTAATTTTACCATCAATGGAAAATATGTAGAACACTGATCAGGTGTGACCCCAATTCAATAGACCTGACACACAATGACATTACACTTTGTTATACATGTGCCCGTTACTATGGGCAGCCAGTTGGTGACAACCAAGCTCCCATAGTAAAGTGCACATTTAAACAAAGCGGACCTGTCATAATGTAGATGAGGTCTTTTGAGTTTCAGAAAAGCCATTACAAAATGGAGGTCTGAGTTTAACTTAAACGTAACTCCAGTTTTTAATGTAAATTCAATAAATCAATGCTCAATTGTTTAACTGAATCATGTAACCTCGGCAGGTGAAAATTAATGAATGTTTTTGTTTCACTCAAACTTTTGTAACTACAAGAACAAATGTGAACGTCCTATTTCAAAATAAAACTCCAACTCGAACTCGTAATGAACAATGAAGGGAATTATTCACTTAATTACTCGCAAAAGGAAAACCCCTTACTTGTCTTTTCAAAATCTGAGAAAAATCAAATACATGTAAACAAAATCATCCTCATCCAAGTAAGGCCACCTTTTGGGGCCACACCTGTTTAATACAGCAGATAGGTGATGGGATTCGCCCTTGGCACGTTTCGGCCAAAAGCATGCAGATCTGGCATCTTTACACAAGAAATATAGTGATTCCCGTGTCAGGGTTCAGTGATTCCTGTGCATACACGGGAATCAGTAAACCCGCTATATTTACATGTATGACGAACATTTTGACAGGGTCCCACGGATTTCGTACTAACGGGAGTCGACTGTATTGTGTAAAATTGCTAGATCAAGGCTCTCCATGCTTATGGCGGAAGCGTGCAGAGAGCGAACTGAGTAAGATAGTTGGATATAGGGCCATCACAAATTTGCCCTTTGAAAAAATATAGGTATAATAACAAGCAATGGCAGCCATTTTGAAAATTGCTTGTTATTCTACCTGTATTTTTTCAAAGGACAAATGTGCATTTGCCCCTTATCCAAAAATCTTTCTCATGACATACTCTAGTGCCAAACTCCATGCTTGTACCATCCAAGGCACAATTTTCCTAAATATTTCACCCATCTGTTCCACGTGTATACATTAGCCCGTTTTATTACAATCCAATCGAACATTTAAAAAAACAAATTCTGATCAATCACTAGCTGCTTTTATCCAATAAAAAAGAATGACACCAAGAATGTATACTACTCCTTTCCAATTTGAACCATGCCAGGATTTAACTCACCCATGGACAATTTATACCCCCCTTCCCAACAAAAAGGGCCACCTACCCAAACATGATCGGTGGTATGTTCCTTGGAACAACTACACTACATGTACTCAATCGCATGACAATATTTGCATTTCAATCTGCAAGTTTCTGATCTTTCCATGAAATCTGTTTCTGTTTTAGCCTCTGAAGAAGAACTTGCTAAGTTCGCAACGTCAGGCCACATTAATTTTAAGATTTATATATTTCAGGTCCATCCAGTCAGTAAGCAGTTTGCAGCAGTTTTACTTTTTTTCATCTTTCCATGAAATATCAATTTCAAGTAATTTCAGAGATTGAACCGCAATTCCTGTGATCAATGTTCAACCTCAATGT